AAAGACCAGAGCTGAATAGAAAATTCTACTTTCAGATACAAGACTCAAGAGAAGTATGAAGAGAGAAACAAGAAAGAGAAATCATAAGGGACTTAGGTTGAACTGCTTACATTCCTACATGGAAGGATGATATTTGTAACTCATGAGACCTTTGTCAGTATTAGGGTAGTTGGAGAGGAAAAAATTATATGTATAGATAGATTGATAGAGGGCACAGGGTGAGTTGAAGATGAATAGGTAATATCTGGAGAATAAAATTAAGGGGTGAGAGAAGATTATACTAGGAGAAGGAAAAACAGAGAAGTAGACTGGGGTAAATTATCTCACATAAAACAGACAAGAAAAGGCTTTTATAGTGGAGGGGAAGTAAGGGAAGGTGAAAGGGAATGAGTGAATTTTATTCTCATTGGATTTGTCTTAAGGAGTGAATAACATACACTCAATTGGGTATGGAAAGCTATCTTACCCTACAGGAAAATAGGGGGGAAGGGGACAAGAGAGCAGCGGAGATGATAAAGGAGAGGGCAGATTGGGGAAGGAGGTAATCAGAAGTAAACATTTCTGAGGAGGGACAGGGTCAAAAGAAAGAATAGAATAAACACAGGGCAAGATAGGATGAAGGGAAATACAGTCAGTTTTCCACAGCATGACTATTATGGAAGTGTTTTGCATGACTACGTAAGTATAATCTGTATCCAGTTGCCTGCCTTCTCAATGAGGGTGGGTGGGGAGGGAGGAAGGGAGAAAATGTGGAACCCAAAGTTTTAAAAATAAATGTTAAAAATAGTTTTCACATGCAAAAAAGAAGAAAATGGGACCCAATGGCATCACCTATTATAATATTGAAATACTATTGTTTGGGCTTTTTTTAATTAGCACTCTTCAGGCCCATTTATGTCCTTTTTGCTGCCTGTGACCTCATGTTTCAAATTAAATAATTAGGTTTAAGGAAGAAGTATCTTTTTTACAGGATTAGATAATTGCTCAGTTAATTATTACTTTGAGGACAGTCCATTCCCCAATCTGTATCATAAGAAATCCCTTTTTCCTCATTTTAGGAAGAAGTATTGGTACCTTGAGGCAGGAGGTGATCTCTCCTTAGTCACAAAGTTTAATATTTTTCCCTTATCAAAGAACTGAACTAAAGCCCTTGTGACTTCATTCTAGTTATTAACACAATCATAAACCCTAGCTACATAACACTAAAGGAATAAAGAATTAATTTGGCATTCATTTTCTATAGGCCTTTTCCAGGAGGAGACTTTGTTTGCATCACTATAAATACTCATTTAATAAGCTTGCCTTGTATTCTGTTTGGCATTGTTGTCAGTCCTATTGTGAAACAAGAGAAAAGGACCACATTCTTAATAATATACTAAGCCATATTCTTCTCATTTTTAGCTACTTCATTCACTCAACAAGGATTTATTGAGACCTACTATGTTCCTCAAATCATTCCAGCTACCCAAAATGTGTTAAGTTTACCCCTGTCCATTAGCAACTTATAATCTAGTTGGGAAGACAAGTTATATACATAACGTTACATTTACAAAGGATTTTTTTAACATTTGAAAAGCACTTTATATACATTATCTCATTTGATCTTCATAATGGTTTTGTGAGGTGTTATTATTATCCATTTTATAAATGAGTAAAGTGAGCTTCTGAGAAGTTAACTGGGTAATAGGATCATGCAACTGGGGAGTTTCTGAAGTGATGTTCAATCTCACTCATCCTTTCATATACATAAAAGGTAGGTAAAAATGTGAGGCAGTATGTGATTAAGTACTGAAATGAGTAGACAACCAGTGATAAGATTCTAGACAAGGGAATGATCCCTGTCAATTGGCAAAATCAAGAGCCATACAGAAGACCTAGTGTTTATACTGAACCTTAAACATGGTTAGTTAGAATGGCAAAGAAAAAGAACATTTCAGGCAGTGTTGTGTCTGGTAAATAATAAAGAGACCATTTGCAACAGAGAGTTCATATTGGGGAGTAGTGAGAGAAAAGGTTGACTAAGTAGGGTGGGGCTAGATTTTGAAGACCCTCACATTCCACCCTGGGTTTAACTTCATACTGAAAGGAAGAGAGAATCATTAGATGTTTTTGAGCCGGGAAATGTTATCACAGATAGGATGCTTCAGGAAAATTAATGTATTATCACCTCCAGAATAGACTGAAAGATTAAGAGCAGAGAGCCAATTTAAGAAAATATTGCATTATTCCAGGTATACAGAATGAATCATCTAGTTTAAGGTGGTTGCAATGAGAATAGAAGATAAATGGATTTGTTTTTCTTCAAAAGATTGGAAAGGACTTCAGGTACCATGGTACTGTAGGAAAAGTATTGAACTTAGGTAGAAGGACTGGAGTTCAAATTCTGGTTCTGCAAATCACTACCTATGTAATCTTGTGTAATTCCCTTCACTTCCCTGGGCCTCAATGTTCTTATCTGTAAAATGAAAGGGATGAACTACATGATCTCCAAGCTTCCTCCCCTTCTCATTCTAGATTTATGATCATAGGAGACTCTGACTTGTTTAGTGATGTAGGGGATAAATGGAAGCTATATTTATACTTCATAAAAGTAAAAAATGGCATCAATCTATTTAACCTCAGGCTCCTGAAATATAAAACTAAGCAAGATAGGCAGTACTTAAGTCAAAACATACAGAGTGGTAGAATGAGGGATTATACATATTTCTAAGGACAGAAAATTCTGTTTACTGTGAATTTTTTGCCCTTAGAAATATGTGTGTGATGTAATATATGGGGCTGTTTTGTGATGTTACTTCATGTGCTATCATGAAAGATCCAAGGGACAAACTGAATTAATACATTAACATACAAGGGACCAATTTCAGAGGGGCAAAATTTTCAAATCTTGCCTTGTCCTGGATTTTCTGAGAAAATGGCAGGGTCATTAACACAGTGTTCACTCTTGGGCTTGTTATGTTTGTGGGAACAGCTAAACATCCAATAGAGATGTTTAGTAAACACTGGAGCTATTTTCTAGTGGATCTTTTAACCCTTTCAAGACAATTCAGAAAAAAAATGTTGAATGGTGACCTTTGTTGCCTAAAAGAATTACCAAAATTTCCAAAGGGGTCTAGATTATATCCAGGGTTAGCCGGATACTAGATGGACTTAGTTCACTGATTTGCATATTTTATGGGTACTAAGCTTTATTATTTATTACATTAAAATAACATAAATCTTACTCCTTTCCCCCCTCTCAGATTTTGTTCTTTGTTACCCCTTTTTCCATAACCAGAACCCTAAACCCCATGTTAAGTTGGCCTTTTCCTACCAAAAAAATGGAAAATAAAACAAATCAAAAACTAAAGATGAATGTTTCTAGTCTAACTTACAACACTGACTTATGGACCTTCTTAGGGAACTAAACTCAGAATCCAATCTATGAAGAAAATCATTATCTTGAACTATCCTGCACCAGAAAATACTGCCACTTTGGGTAAATTTAGAATCTTGGTTGAAATTGTTGGCTGGAAGCCACAGCCCAAGAACCATTCTTTCTGGAGAGAGAGAGAGAGAGAGAGAGAGAGAGAGAGAGAGAGAGAGAGAGAGAGAGAGAGAGAGAGAGAGAGAGAGAGAGAGAGGAAAGAAAGAAAGAAAGAAAGAAAGAAAGAAAGAAAGAAAGAAAGAAAGAAAGAAAGAAAGAAAGAAAGAAAGAAAGAAAGGAAGGAAGGAAGGAAGGAAGGAAGGAAAAGAAAGAAAGAAAGAAAGAAAGGATGCTTCTCTGAAGTTTAAAGTTAACTCTCTTTTCAGTTTCCATGTTTTTCTTCTATGGTATTGCCATAAGAACACTTACTACCTGGTTGCTCGGGGGTAGGAGGAGAATGTGATTGATGGGGAAAAAAAGCCACTTTGTCAAACAAAAATGATAAAAGGCTAAAAAAAATACCTAGTACAATTATTCTTTCTATTAAATGTCAGTATTTACAGATTTTTGAGTAGCATGGTCCTCATGAATCTGTCTTAAGTGTCTTAGCATAGCTATACTGAGCTAAGCTCTGAAGAACAATTTTCTAAGCACTCACTCAACACATAAATTAAACTTTTTAACACAAATTTTAAGATCTTGCTGACTTTTGTTATTGTTTTGGTTTCTTTATTCCTTTTAAATAGTCCCATTGCTTTACTGGTTAATCACATTGGTATAGTCTTAGAATGAGAAGTCTGGCAACTTTAATTCAATAATGAGCAACTTTTTATAAAATATTTTAATTCCAGCATCTGATTTAGAATAACCATGGGTTTGCAAAGGATGCTGAGAATTTTCCAGTCACTGTGGAGACCTGTAGGTGATGGCTTTGCTTTCAAGCTTCTTAATGTGAATTGATAAATGTTATAATTTCCAAATGCCTTTCTACTTTTTCCCTAGCCAAGAAGTAGAGCTCCTTTTAAAGGTGTCTAATTAACTCTGTGCAAAAATGCCTTTTGACTGCTATAAGTGCATTTTTAATGAGACTTCTTTTTCTGCCTCTTGCTACATATTGTTTAAACCTCCAAAACAGATACTTTAAATTAACTTTAAATGCAAAACACCAAAAGCACTTTTAGTCCACAAAATCACTTGTTAAAGGACAACAAAAAGTCTTTTGTCCCATGCTGCTAACCTATGCCTTATAGCACTTAAAAAGCTGTAAAGTAAATGTTCCTTAGGGACCCAGTTTAATCTTGGTTCTGTCTTTTATTAATATTCCAATATTTTCAACTATTTAGCAACTTATATCTTCTTCATTCTACTTCAGTAGCTATTTTAAATTTAATCATATCCAGTAACCCATCAACCAAATGTTGAAGTATGGTTCATGAAAATACATGGATGATTATATATAGAGATATATATGTATTCTAAACATGAAAAATATTAGTTTTCTGAAGAAAATCTACTACTTTAGAAGATTTTAAGGGTATACAGATTTCACATTATTCTCTAGATATCTTTTTTCTCCAAACATTAGACGAGGTTGCATTGTTTACAAAAATTTATTAATACAAATTTTACACACTTATATAACAGTTATTAAAGTCCTAGTTATAGATATCATGTGTGTAGTCATACTTGTTAAAGTTTTTATAATCAGTTGCACACAAAATAAGATCTTCAAGACTGACATCTACCTAAATGATGACTGTAACTTAAATCTGATCCAATTTGGTAAGGCTCTTGGCTTACTAAAAAGTATACAAAAGGTTAATCTAGGTGATATCTATATAATGTTTGCAGCTAGCCACTGGAACACTAAACTACACTTCATAAATAAAATGTTGACTAGAGCCCTATTTCACTACTACAGCTGACACAAACACAGAAAATTCTGCCCATTCCCAAAGAAACAAATAATTAGGACTAAAATGCAAGCTGATGTGTTGCAGCATTGTAGGGCCACTAAATAGCCATCTGTGATTCGTGGCGATTTAAAAGGCGAAGAAAGGCACGAAAGCTGCAAACTGCATCCTGCGTCACATTGCCTGAGGAAAATGCAAAATTAAAGTAAGATTGATTTCATACACAAGACTTGGGCACAGATCGAATGTCTCTGTGGTACTACCGTTTGCAGTGCGATTGGATAGCAGTACCCATCCGACTTGGGATTGCAAATCCAATTTTGTTTTCTTTGATTTATGACTTCATGCTGATCAAATCGGTAAAAGAAAATGAAAGGTCCTTTAAACTTTACATGCTGTTTTGTTTTGTTTTGTTTTTAAGAAATCAGTGACAAATTTAGGGGAATGACTGGCTGGATTCTCTGTTGTTACTTGTTTGGGGAGGATATTAGGTTGGGATACTTTTGTATAGAGATTCCTCTAGAATATATTCAGTGTCATGACAAGCAGCAAACAGACATGCCCTCTTTAGTCAAAGAAGACCAGGAAGTTCTCTGGATCTGATAGAGGCTGTTTTGTCTCACTCTTGACCAAAAAAAAAAAGGTAAGATAGTACTCATACATATAAAGATGATGTTAAAATGATTTATCAGTGGGTAGAACTGAACGGTATGTGAACACTATACATTTTAATATGACAAAATTGTTTTAAGACATTATGTAGAAAAATACATTTTACCTCCAAACTCAATAAACAAGGAACAAAACTTTTGTAGTTAGTGCATAATTATTTAGTGGTAGCTACAACAGGGGTTCCTAAACTTTACAATAAGAGCTTGCATAAAACAGAACAAAAGAGTGAGAACAAGCATTCACAATTTTTAAAGAAGTGAATGAAAAGGATAAACAGTGGTTAAATAGTGCAGGTAGGGGGTGGGGAAGAAGGGTCTACAGGAAAACAACAAAGAAAGGAGCAACTCCAATTGAATATAGTTCAAAGGAGAGAACCCTGGCCATTTCACATGATGAGAAGCATGGACAGCACTGGAGAGAAACACATTATACTTTGTATCAAGTTCCAATAACGAGCTGCCCAAGGTCAGTTAGTGGGACTGTATTTGCCTCAAGATACTCAGATCCTATGACCGCTCAGAATTCTCTGGGGTTTTCCTTTTCTGCCTCACACTGTGACTCTTTCTGTGTCTAAATTTCCTACTCCTTAATCTAGTTACTCTAATTTCAGGTTTTTGGTCCTTAAAGAACAGCGAATGAGAGGGTTGTTTGTTTTTACAAGTCACCCTTCTTTGCCTAAGTCTTTTCTCCTTCCCGAACCCCTCCTTACTAAACTGCTCTAAGTCAACAGAGAGGCACAATTTGGAGAGAGCTGTTGTTTCACCACAAGAGAATTAACTTCTAAGCTCACTGTTTGAGGAGACACAAATACATATAAAAGTGGAATCAAAGAAAGCAGAAAATTGAAATCTCTAGAAAGGGGGATAGTGCCCCTTTGAGAAAGGCTTGGATTAAATCAGACTTTTTTTTTTAAAGGAGACTTAAAGGGGGAAGAATATGCTTCAGCAATTCTCCCAAATCATTAGCCTCATAATCCCCTTGTAGAGGGCATCGGTGTTTATGTACAGTAGCAAATGGTCAGTATTAATGTCTTCACCCCTGTCGTGGATAAAAATACTATCCTTTTAATTCCAGTTACAAAAATAGGAGTAATATCGAAAACAATGATTGTCTTTTTCTATTTATTTTATATAAAAACATAAACAGCTCAGGCGAATTTATCATTCCTTGTGCACGCTTTATATGAATTGCTCTCTATTATATTTATATATATATATTTATAATAGTACATATAACTTAAATGATTGGTCCACAAAGTAGATCTGTGAGTTCTCTAGTGCTTTGTACAAAAGAAAAACAATATTATTATCAAAATATTCATTTAATGGCTTTACTTCATACATAAATACATGTTTAGATAGAACACAGGCGCGATGACTGTTCAGTCAGTTTTGGAAATGACTTTTCATTCTGTTAAGAGGACTGTACACAATAGGGTGGCTGGTAGGTAACTCATCGCTACAAAAACGCTATGCGGCGTCCTTTGTTTTTAACTCTCTGTTTATACCTTTTCCCCAGGACCGCTGCCAAGTATTTCTTGACAGCCATTTGTTTCCGGTAGCGGCTGTAGCTGTCCGTGAAGATCCCGTCAGAGTGGCGCTTGGAGAGCGGTTCAGAATCGTCCTCCACGCCAGTACCCATCCTGGGAAGACAAAAAAGAAGACAGAGGGTGGAAGATAAGAGACGGAGGGAAGGGGCGACCAGAAACTGTTGCAACACGTGGATCACTTGGGCCCGCCCCTCCCCCACACCTGGAGCTTCCTGGGGCTCCCTCGAACTGTTCCTCCAGCTCCGCCACTCCTTTTTGCTGAGGTTTAATGGGCTTAAAGAAGAGCTGGGGGGTGGGATTACCACATTCCTCCGCCACTCCTTTTTCTTGAGGTTTAATGAGCTTAAAGAAGAGCAGGGGGAAGGGATTACCACATTCTCTTCCTTCCAAAAGAGTATTTTCTGACAACATCACACATAAATTTAGAAATGGAAGTGACCTTAGAGGTCATTCAGTCCAATCTCCACCACCTCCTCGTTTTTAATATTAATAAACTGAGATCTAAAGAGGAAAGGTGGCCTAAGGTCGCACAAATGACTGGTAAGGCCTTTGATTCCCAACCCAACACGCTTTTTCCTCCAGGATAGCAGAGCAGAGATCCAGGCTAACTTAAATCCAACCTTTATGAGAAACTTAGGCTAACTGATGCGTTCTTTGTCCATTTAGAGGATATTTGTTTTCACTCAGGTATTTATTTATAAAGCTCCAGACTACCCAGGTTGGGTGTGGTTCCAATCAAAGACACAGCACTTCCAGAGAAACAAAGGAATATCTCTGCTTGCTAAATTGAAAGTCATGATAATAACGTAAGTCGACAAGCAGTAGACAATATTTTTCATCTCATGAATTATTCATTGTGAAAATGTAATCTGTTTTCCCATGGGCTTTATTAAAACGTTACCTTCTGTTGAAATGTTCTCCACATAGGACTCAGGATTTGAACTTGTCTGACTTGAGCAAAAACTAATTATTTTTAATGTACCCCATATGACGTTGTTACTTTAATTTTGCTTTGTTTTATTTTTACAATAAAAGCGATACAATCCATGCGTTTCGAGGTAATGGTTACAATTCCTCCTATGAGATTTGAAATCTTTAAACTAATGAATTTATTTCTTCCTTTTTAAAAAATGTTTTTGGTTCTCTCTCACTATTTCTCACCCTCCCTCCTCTAACTCGATCTTTTCTTCACTTAATTCCTGTTCAGGACTTGGGCGTACAGACAGTTCAGGTTAGCCCTGGAATTCGCCCGATAATAAATAGCGCTAAAGAGGCGCGGACGCACATCCTCCCACTGCGAAGCAACGCAGAAACGTATGCGAAGACACGCATGCACAGACACTATACCCACTAAACAGGCATGCACGTGCACTAACGCGCGTGCGCCTCCTTTAACTCTTTAGTAAACTCTTACCCTAAGCGTTTGGCCATGAGAGAATGCAGGTACTTCCTCGCAGACAGTTGGCCCAGAACTTTCCGGTATGCTTTATTCAATATGTCATCTGTTTGTCTAAATGGAATGGAAGAAGATGCAAAGATCAGAATAGAGAAACCTCTCAAACACAGGCCGTGGAAATTGGGTGGGAGCTAGTGAATCGGGACAGCCCACAGACAGTCTGAAAACTATTTCTTCCACGTCTCTAGGCAGGGTCATTAGAAAAGAGTTTGTGAATTCTGAGAGGATTAAGTAGTGGAATTTTTGGCTTGCTATTTCTCTGGATGTGCACTCATTCTCATACCCATAGGTATACTTGACCATCCTCGTATAATCAGAGTCACCACCACACACACACACACACACACACACCACACACACACACACACACGCGAGCGCGCGCGCGCGCGCGAACATACTCTAGATTCTGAACTTTCTCTTGCCTCCGCATTAGGCCCGTAGGCTGAAGAAATATTTGAGGACTTATCTTATTAATAAAATATAAATAAATAACGCAAATACACAACCTTTCCTGCCCACTACCCATTATCTCAGGGTTACTGAGTCCTCCCAGGCTCTCCAAGCAAACTCTTAATCAGCCCAGGAGCGGTCACCTCTCTTCCGGTGGATAATAGAGCGTGTACACGTCCCCCAGCATGGATGCAGTGTTTCCTAAGCCCAAACGGTTATTATCAAAGGCGAAATCCTGCAGAGTGTTCCCATCCTCATCATAAGCTTCATCCTCCAACCTGCTAAGAAAATGGAAAGGAAAGGAAAAGGACTCAGTGACTGGATCGTTCCCCGCCTCCAGGAGGAAGGGGGAAGATAGAACAGACTTTCAATTCTTCTCTCGACTAGGATTGGGGGGGGGGGCAGGACTTGCCCGGCGGGCGTAAATCTGTCCCTTCTCCGAACCCAGTTGTGAGATTTCAGGAATCATCCACCTTTTTCCCACCTCCCCCCTCCTACCTATCCCCCCTCCCCCAGCCAAACTAGGGCAGCGATATTTGGGAGAGTAAAACGCTCAGTGCCTAAGGACCAAAAGGACTAGTTAACCCGACCGGAATCTGAACTGAGGGCCAGGGGAAAAGACTGGTGGAGGCTGGTATTAGAGGCAAACGAGTCTTAGCTGGCCACACTAGTGTATACATACCACAACCCCCTCCCCGCCTCCTCCCCAGTCACTACCAAAGCTTCAAAAAGAGTTGCCCACAGGAAGGGATGGGGGAGGGGAAGGAAGAGCAAGGAATTAAAGTTGAAGGAACTGTCCAAGTGAAGGCGCTGCAGTGGTACTAGCTACAGCTGGGATAAAGCCCGTAAATACGATTTGGGTGGGTGGGGTTTGTTGTGGTGTTGAGCCCAGCCCTCCCTTCTCCGGCCTCTGGAAAACTCTTCCCCGCGGCCTGATTTAGGTCACTGAGCGTCTCCCGCTGCTATCTCTGGACTGCAAGACTCTAGCAGGGACATGAATAATAGATGCCCCAAAACTTAGAATGTTTGGCTTCTGCTCATTCTGTCTAGAGACCCGCACTCAGTTTCCTCCGATGCCTCGGGCTTATGGAAATTGTCAGCCCAGTCTCAGCATCTGGGAACCAAGTTAGCTCTGAATCCAGTTTCCACTCCTTCCCTACCCCCACTCCCACCCGTACTTCCACTCCTACTCTCACCCTATCCCGGGATTTCCAGAGAAGAGGGAGGAGGAATTGAGGAATTAGAGGGAAGAACAATTTGATTTTAAATGTACTCCACCACCACCCTTTTAAAGTTGGCATAGGCATGGGAGAATGCAAGTAACTACAGTTGGTTCATTGTAAGATGCTGGGGAGACTGCCGTGACCTCACCTCAGAGTCACAGCTCAAATAAAACAAAATTTTGACAATTACTAGGGCAAGGGGTTTTTCTTCCTATTGACCCTATTACTAAGTGTGCGTCCGTGTGCCTCGGGGTATGTGCGTGAGGGGAGCAGGGGAGGAAGGGGGTAGAGGAAAAGAAAGACAGAGGGAAGGAGGAGAGGAAGGGAGGGAAAGAAAGCGATTTTAAAGTAAAAATCGGTTAAAGAAATCACTTTTGGCTCGGAGAGAAAACCTCAGCAAATCTCACTAGTAAGCCAGCCCTTAGGGAAAATCTTGGTCTACCATACTCTCATTTTTTAAGCGACCTGTCCTTTTGGAACGGAATCTGGTTTTTGTGCCGTTACATTTTTTCCATTCTGCCCTTCTTTCTGAATTGGATTTGTAGCAGACAGAACTTCCCCTTCTCCCTCTCTGTTTTTTTTTTTCCAGTTCTCCAGGTGTCCCAAAAGGAAGGCTAAGGGGATACAGTAGTCTAACCCCTGGCTGCCCCGTAACTGCCCTGGACCCACGACCTGCGTGTCTGAGTCCTATTATGCCATTTTCCAGATCAAGTTGGCCGGCCTTGCAAAAGACATTAAAAGCCAGGAAAAGTCCTTCCTGCTGATCTCCCACGCCTCAAATAAACAACAGACAAAGTAAAGCACGTTATTAGATGAAGGAATTCTATTATTAAAAGTGTTCGTATTCATCTCCGAGGAGCTTTGTGGCGCGGGCAGGGCTTCAGATCCCTGACCCGGGTCCTGTAAACTTAAAACCAGCTTCCCCCATCAAACCGCAAAGCAACGCCTTCTTGCTCTCTGGCCTCTACTCTAGCCTGAGAAAACGGCTATAACCTCATCAGAGTAGCGCAGACGCACTTAGAAACCAGAGGTTACGGGAGAAAAAAGCCCCGAGAATGAGAGAGATCTCAGTCTGGGTAACCTCGCTCCCTCCGCCTCATTTCCCTTTCTTCATCTCCTTTCCGTCCTTATTGTCTTCCTCCTTTTTCCTCGTCCCTTTCCCTCTCCTTCTCTCTGACAGGCTTTGGCCCCTCCCCCAACCATCACAAACGACTGTCGGAGACTAAAAACACAGTAGTAAACTCAATCGACAAAAAAGCTTCCCGAAAGAAACCTTATCCATCCCTGAAGTGCATCACGGAAGAAGAGAGAGAGAAAGAGAGAGATGGAAAGAGGGAGAGAGAGAGAGAGAGAAGAGAGAGAGAGAGAGAAGAGAGAGAGAGAGAGAGAGAGAAGAGAGAACAGTACAGCAGAAAAGCACAAAAAGAAAAAAAAAACATTTTAAATCAGAGGATTTGTGCACATCCAGCCTTGACCCTTTCAGGGGAAAAAAAGATTTCTCTTTTTTTTCTTTCTCTAGTAAGGATCATAAGAGTTATAGACAACAATCCAAGCCCCTTTGTGGGGTCTTTAAGTCTATGTGAGCTCTTTCCCTTAGTGGGTCCACCTGACAAAGAGAGAAGGGGACGAGGGAGGGTGGAGGGAGAGGAGTCATCCGGAGGGACACACTACCTCCCTTGCTCTCTGTGCTGTACTAGGAGAAGGAACAGTCGAAACAGCCCACCAACCAACCCCAAAGCTACAAGGTAAGTACAAGAGGAAACCTGTTCTTTTAGTGTACTCTACCTCGTAGCAACTGAACAAGTGCAGACAGAGACTACTGGGGGAGGTGGGCATAGGCGTTCAAGGGAGGACAGACTGAGACCGGATCGACCTGGGTTATGTTATAGGGAAGGAGGGGGAGAAAAACAGTAAGTACCTACCTGAAAGCAGGAAACTGGATTCCGGCTGCAGGTGAGCAGTGGACACTGCTATGCATTAGTATTCCATAGACCAGCAAGGCTAGGGTCGCTTTGCTACACATTGCCATTCTGTGTACAAGCAAGGGGGAGGGGGAAAACAGCTGTCAAAACACTCCGTTTGTTTTATCTCTAGGCCACTAAAATTATTGGGGGCGGGGGAGCTTCTACTCTGAGATCACGTTTTAGCAAACGTTTGTGCCCCCTCCCTTTCTCTTTCGCTACAGAAAACCCCCACAATACCCAACAACTAAACCAAAGAGCTTAGTAATGAAAAACCTAACTCTTCCACCAACGACGAGGAGAGAATCAATGGTCCAAATTAGTTTGGGTTTTGTTTTCCTTACCATTCAACTCTTAAACCTCAGCACGGAAAGCGTTTGATTCCAATTAGGACAGCGGGCAAATTGTTCCTCCAAGTTTCAGTCGAAATAGTTCACAACGTAAGTGGCATCACCTCCTCCCGCTCCTGTCCAAAGAAAAGCTGCAGGAAAGAACAGGAATAGCAGCAGCAAGAGAGCAGGAGGAGGAGGAGGACTTGTTTGCTGATGCGAGGATTCTGTTCAAAAGTTTGCAGACACACAGAACTAAGAGGGCGTGTGACACTGGAAGGAGACGGGGCAGAGAGGAAAAGGAATTAGAGACAGCTAGAGATCTGGAGAAAAGGCAAGAGGAAAAGAAAAGAGGAGAAAAAGGAAAAAAAGAAAAGATAGGAAAGGAGGAAAGGAAGGAAGGAAGGAAGGAAGGAAGGAAGGAAGGAAGGAAGGAAGGAAGGAAGGAAGGAAGGGAGGAAGGAAGGAAGGCAAAGCTGCGTAGTCAGTGGCGTGCAGCTCTCAGGAAGCTATGCAATTCGGCAGCTCCGTCTCTTCACTATGGTCCCTCTGACTGTGGCTGAAGCTGCAGCTTTCTTCTTCTGTCGGTGACTCCAAAGGTGACCAGCTCTCTGCGTTGCTATATTTATATATATATATATATATATTTATATATATATATATATAAAATATGCAACTAGCAAAAAAAATCTTTTCAAACCAGTTTTATTCGAGCCCTCTTTGTAAATATTTGCCTGCTGTTACCTTTACTAGTGGAATATTGTTTGTTGTACTGTTGTGCTCCGATTTTTATTCATGAAATGACTTCCTTTTTTTTTCTCTCAGTCACGTAATGATCGGATATCAGAAAAAGACGTCACCATCCCAATTCCTCAAGGAACATATTAACTATTCTGTGCTGTCCTCATGGATGAGATGATCCAGAGTCATCAACTCTCATAAACACCTCTCACTCACACATTCCATTTTTAAGAAGTCTAATTATTTTGGTGCTTCTCAAATTTGCCTGTTCCTCAAGGATAGGAAAATACAGGGAATTAAGAGGATCAGAAAGTTAATTTTTTTTTAACCATGTCCCTTCTGGTTACTGTTACTGTTTTGTCAAGTCCCTCCTAACAGAGATTCAGTCCCTTGAATTAAAAGAGATAAAACCTTTCTCTTATCAATTGAGTTTAATTTAGGTTTCCTCCTCTTTTGCGTATATTCTTTCAGATATAAAATTAAGTCAAGAGATTTATTTTGTTTTTAAAAGGCAATTTGAAGTCTTGGAGAATTTTTGGAAAATCTCTAATTATACTAAATGCAATTGACAGACTGGCTAGTGGGTGGAATGATTAGTGTAAAGCACACTGAGTTCCCAGAGTGGAGCTGTCCAAGCTCTGGGGTGCGGAGCTGTCCAAGCTCTGGGGTTCTGAGCTGTCGGAATGCTAAAGCCACAAAATTTGGAAATCTCTGCCTCCAGCTTGTTGTCACGAAAGTCCTGAAATGTGATGAAAATCCGAAAGAACCATTTAGTGTGGGCAATTTTCACTATAAAAAAATCACAATAATGATTTTTAAAAATTCCAGCTTCGAGTGAATATATCACTATTTCTCCTAATGATGGAAATAATTTCTGGGCCTTTTATTTGAGAAAAGATTAGCTAAGGATTTTATGTTGTTCCTTTGTTGAATCATTGGTGGAGGTTTTTTTAACTTTAATATGTAACACTATTAAAAAGTGAAAACTGTTGGGTGTTTTGTTTTTTACATGAAGAAAAAGGGACATTGCATAAATCTGGAGCAGTGGGGAATATGGCTTTCACTTTATTCACACAACAAAATTAAATCTGTGCCTAGAGTTCTGTGTGGTGAAGTGAACACAGACTGGAAAAGCTCGAGGTTTCCCATTAAAAGTTGATTTGCTCAGGGACTCAACGGGAATCCCTCCTCAGGGAACTCTAATCTACTATCATTTTTTTCTACTGAAAATGACAGGGAAGAAGAACGGAAGGAGGGAAGACCACATCCACAGGAGTCTTCCAAGTATCTGCATAAATTTAGCCGATCCTAATCTTTCCAATCCAGTGCAAGAAAGTAGGTTTATTTCCTACAAAGTTAAGAAATATAGCCATCAATAGTAACTACTGTGCATTTCAATGATTTGGATCTCAAAGAATAGATTAAATTATAATTTCGTTCATTTCCTATTCCTGTGATTTGCATCTAACATGTTTAAAAGACCTATTTTAATTCAACTCGAATTTTCCAAAACGTAAAAACTGAGTTCTTTTAAATCTCTCTCTCTCTCTCTCTCTCTCTCTCTCTCTCTCTCTCTCTCTCTCTGTTTCTCTCCCCGCCCCCTGCCTCCCTCTTATTCTTTCCCTCATTTTTCTCATGCTTTTCCCAAAAGGCAAAAAAAAAAATTCCTTTCTTATGTTTCTGGGTAATGGAATTACCTAGGAATTTCTACTTAAGACACTATTAACATATTCTATATTTTTAGTTAAGATCAGATGGCCTGTAATGATGCAAGTATTTCTTTATGTTCTATATGTGTATATTCATATATTATATGTATATTATATATCACATATATTTGACACATGTGTGCATGTATGTATACATACATATATAAAACACTCCATCCTATGAAAGACACCTAAAAAGCCATGAACCTGGCCAAATAAACTTCAGGAAATGCCTAAAGTTATTACTGATTTAGCACTCTGATCTTCCACAAGGATAATGTCAAAGGCGAACCCTATTAAAACCCCTACTCTTTGCTCTCATGGGGATTCTGATTTTCGTTCAATTTGTAGATATACTGGAAATTTTCCAACACTTCTTGGGAAGTCCACTACTCAAGGTAAGGAAAGGGAGCCACCATGTGGAGAAATTGTTGACTTCAAGTCCTGTTAAAGGTGGGGTGAACTCTGCAAATGAGAACTTATTGGTTGGCGAGGGGGATGGGGGGAAGAGAAAACAGGAAGGAGGAGAGCAACTGGAGGGAACTCCTAGATGTAAAAACTACTTAACGTCTGAAACGAAACCACTTGAGTAAGTTTCTAACCCAGTCTATTTAAGCTCTCGTATTCTGAGGATCAGATCTAAGACCCTTGGAATTTACACGTCAGAAGACCCAGATCCGATGGTCTGAACGTAAGACTAAAAAGATTCTTTAACTTTGTATTCAGAGGCACACACAGTGAAGTCAGTACCCAAGGACTCAATCCTGAGAAAAAGATGTTTTCATTGGCTGCCTGCTCTTCTGGGGCCAAAGGACAGTGGCAATATTTCGTTCCTTTCGCCCCCTTCAAGTCCGCAGTTCTTTCAAATTTATGACTGAGCTAGTTCCGTGAACTGTTACCAGAACCTTTTCACCAATTTGCCTAACTCGACTCCTCCCGGTCTGAGGCTTCTGCGCTATGGTAGGTCTGTCAGGAAAGGGAGAGTGATGGGCAAACGAGACTTTCTGGAATAGAAGACTGAGCTGGACACTATAGGTGAAGCAAGCAGCTATTCCCCATCGTGTATTTGACTAAATGGTCCCTTCCAATCACACTCCCGCCTACCACCTGGCTCTGTACTTGCCGGGGAGGTCTTGTGACATGAAGCTTTTTCTTTAATGCCCCAAGTGGGTAATTTTCCTTCATCTCTGGCTTCAATTTCATACTCATCATTGACTGTTTCACAAATGCATGAGGGTTTGAATTGTGTATATACTTTAGAGGTTGAGAGAAGAGGCCAGGAAAGGCTCAGACCACCTGTTAAAATAGATGCTGAGAGAAGACACTCATGGCCAGGCTAAGGGGATTACCAATCCTGAGCTATTGAAATCATAAGGAAACCATCTGAGGAATTACATATTTCCCCTATTTTCAAACACAAATGCAGCCTCTTCTTCACACTGTGTTTTGCCCAGAACATCGGGTGGAAAGAGTAGGAAAAGAAGTATGGGCTCCATTGTTGTCACTCTTGATAAAGAACTTCAACATCCACATTTCTTCCAAAGGGATCTTAGAATTAACTCAAAGAGTTTAAGACTGAAAGAGATCTTAAGGGCTCTGCATCCATCAGAACCAACCAAATCCAAGGAAAGTGGAGAATGGGTCCAATACCCTTCACTATAGATTTTAGATGAGTTTTACAAGCTCTTTTCAATATCATCTCATTCTCCTATCTAAGCAATTCTCAGGTAGTGATATTTCCTTTCCAAATGAGAAAGTAGGGAGTGAAAGTACTGAGGATTGCCACCAATAAAAAAAGTAAGAGCATTTTGGTTTGGATTTTTTGTTTCATTTCTTTGGTTTGGTTTTTATGGTACTGGAACCTGTTTGTTCACTGTGGTAGAGAAGTCCAGAGGAAAAGCTCCCTCATAGATCAAGAAGTGCATTGCAACTTGTGATTCTAAAGAATTGCCCGGGGCACTGAAAGTTTAAGTGACTTGCTGAAAGTTACATAAACTTTAAGTGTCAGACTCCAAAGTCAACTCTCTAGTTCAAATTCAGCTTCAGATACTAGCTGAGTGACCCTGGATAAGTCATTTAACCTCTTCCTGCATCAGTTTCCTCGAATATAAAATAGTGATAATATTAGCATCTACCTTGCAGGATTGTTGTGAGAATCAAATTGGTAAAAAGGGCTTAGGACAGTACTTGGAACATAGTAGGCACTATGTAAATGCTTGTTCCCTCCTATCCCTCCCCACTACTCTATTTTGTTTTTCATAGGAGACAATTTATACAAAATAAATGGGGTTACATCAGAGCAGGATAAAGGTGTGTGAGGATGCTTGATGCCTACCCCCTAGCATAATATGGTAGCCTCAGTAAAGGTTCCTGGAGACACTGAATTTCAAAATGCAGCTGTGTCCTCAACTACCCGCTTTAGGCCTCAAAGACTTTTATGTCTAGGGAATAAGGATTATTAAATATATAAATGATTATGTTAATCTGACAAAATGTATGCAAGTGGCAAATTATTCAATCTTGTAACCTTTTCCAAAACTGTCCCCACTGCTCATTGTTTGTCCTTAGGCTTTCGATTTTAAGACCAGGGTGCTGAACCAATAAACAGTTTAAAAAAGAAATTCTCTGCATGTGAAGTGGTGAGATTCTATTTACTGAAAAGATGAACTGATATTTCTGATATATTTATTGAGAAATATTAAACTTGCAGATGATTTCATAAAATGAAATACCATATGTCTATGCAATGCTCTCTATCAGCCTGCTTAGCCAGGATTCCTTGCTCCCCCTGCAGGGGGGAATGATCTTCCACAACCTTTTAAAGTATTAGTTTTCCTGGGAGAACAAATTAGCAATGGATAGAGGGAAACACATTTGAGGGTGGGTAGAATGCTTTTGGCTTTACACAGCCCACCTGGGAGTATTCACTTCACTCAGATGAGACAGTTTCTTCT